CTCTTAAAAATCCATTTAGAACCCAACGGTTTATTTTCAGGAGGAAGATCAACCAATTCCCATGTATGGTTGTTGAATATGGATTTTATTTCACCATTGACTGCCTCTTTTCAAAATAATAATTTCGAAGAAGACATAGCTTCTTTAAATGTTCGAGGCTCATTGTCCAATAAGAAAGTCACAAAATCGGGTCCAAATGAAGTAGATGTTCTTTGACGTTTACTACGTCTTGATCCTCCTGATTAAATGTACTTTCGTTTTTTCCTCCCGAGGTCATTTATATCCTTCACCAATCGACTCACATTCTTTTTTATACGGATATATATATTTTCAAAGAAGTCAACATTATCTGATTTTATAACCGTATTATTATGAATGTCGGGATTTTCTGATTTATGAACCAGAAATCGATATGCTTTACTATTGGTCGCATATCCTATGAAAACACAATCAACGGTTTTCGGTCCTATTTTTACTCTTTTGGGTTTAAGAACTTGTACTTTTGCCAAACACTCCCACATTTTAAAATAATTCCAGTTGGGCTTCCTTCCTTTCCATTTTTTATATGGAATGGATTGCGTTTTGCTATGGGGTACTCAATTTAGTATCCGGTTAGCCGTAAGAATGGCTCCCCCTCACAAGTTCTGTGGCAAACCAGAACTTATCAACAATGCGTTCATCATCTCCTTTAATGAACGATTCTTCCTTTCCGCAATCCCATTGGATTGTGGCGTGTAAGAGACCGTTATTTGATAAATAATTCCATATTCTAAACATATTTCTTCAAAAGGAGATTCATATTTACCACCCCTATCACTTCTTATCATTTTGATTTTCTTGTTAAGTTGTGTTTCAACTTTATTTTTGTGTTGCTTGAATGCGTCTATTGCTTCATCTTTACTATTAAGTAGACATAGCAATATCGAGTATTGTCGTTAATAAAAGTTATGAAATACTTCTTTCCACCGCGAGATGGTATTGACTTCATGTCGTAAATATCTATGTGAATTAAGTCTAAAGGATTTGAATTCCTTTCAACTGGCTTATAAGGATGTTTAACATGCTTAGATTCTACACATATTTGACATTTTGATTTGTCGCATTCAAACTTAGGCAATACTTTCAAATTAATCATTTTTCGTAAGGTTTTATAATTGGCATGTCCCAAACGTATATGCCACAATTCATTTGACTCAAGTAAGTAAGAAGAAGCTGAAGTTTTATTATTCTCAACGACCATTACATTCAGTTTGAAAAGGCCCTCAATGAGATAAAAATTTTCCTACAAACATCTCATTCTTACTTATTACAACCTTATTAGATACAAAAACACACTTAAAACCCATTCTTAACGAGAAGTCCAGCAGAGACTAAGTTCTTCCTAATCTCGGAAACATGAAGGATGTTGTTCAGAGTCACCACCTTGCCATAAGTCATTTTCAGAAATATCTTGCTACATCATTCAATTTTGGCTGTTGCAAAAATTTCTATAGAAAACGTCTCTTCGGGTCCAACGAGAGCATATGTGGCAAACGCTTCTCTAAAAGCACAAATATGACGAGTGGCTACAGAATCAATCCACCACTCCTTAGGATTTCCCACCAGGTTGCATTCAGAAAGCATAGTACACAAGTCATCAACATCTTCATGCTTTTTATCTATGTTTGCTTGACCTTTCTTCTTGTCTTTCTTTGGAGCACGAGAATCTGCAGATTTGTGTCGAGCTTTCCCATAGTTGTAGCAAGTTCCGTTGAACCGCTTCTTGCTTGGGTTGCTTTTCGGTCCAGAAGCCTTATTCATCTTTTTATTATTGTGAGGAGAATCCTCAACAATGTTTGCTCCCATTATTGTTGAGTTTCCACGGCCTTTCTTTTCAGCAGCTTTGTTGTCCTCTTCGATTCTCAATCGAACAATGTGATCTTCAAGCGACATCTCCTTGCGTTTGTGTTTCAAGTAATTTTTGAAGTCCTTCCACAAAGGAGAAAACTTCTCAATTATCGCTGCAACTTGGAATGCTTCATTGATGACAAGACCTTCAATGAAAATTATGTTAGTAAAAAGAATATAATTAATTGTCACGCCCCAAACTAGGGGAGGCACGACTGGCACTCGATACTGTATTCGATCGAGTTAGCCACTAAACATACTAGCTAACTAGACTAGGGGCCCAACAGATCGGGCAGCACAACATTTGAAATACTAAGCCTGGACCGTAAGGTTATGACATGAATAAAAATAAGCCATATAAACATAGATAAACAAGCCAAAATAATAAAATACTAGCTGGGCGACGAGGCCGCGACTGAAGACATACATGCCTACACACCTATATATACATGCCAAGACTATGGGCTGGAGACTGAAAGCAGCAAAAAAAAACCAGAATATTGTGTCCACAATAGCCTCTAAGAGTGTCATAAGCATTGTCGGGATAAGGCCCCAACTATACCCAAACTGTACAACAAAAGTAACCATCCTATGAAAGCTCCAGGAAGAGGTGGAGCTTACCAACTCACAGCTGAACCCCGAAATCCTAGCGGAGGGTCGATCAGAGTCCCTACCTGGACCTGCACGCACGAAACAAAAATACAGTGTCCCCAAGCAACGGGACATCAGTATGAATAAAAATGTACTGGTATGTAAGGCAGAAAGTAGAATCATACATAGCTGATGTAAAAAGGTAATAAAGATACCACCTGACACTGAAACTCTGATAGCCTCCATGGCCGACATCCGACCTCATAGTAATAAAATATGCATGGTATGCTCGTGTAATCGTATGTCGTGAATACATATATATTGATGTAAATGCATGACATACCCAACCAAATGCTAGCAATGGCGGTCTCTCCCGGTAGCTAACCGGTATCATATTGCCAACCTGTGGCCATCTGTACAATATATATAGTCTTTCGGGCAAATAGGCCCCTTACCTCCGATTATAGCTCGAAGTCCATGCATAATATGTCATGTATGATATGAACTTTGAATGCACATAATAGGCCATAACAAGAACTTAGCCAACCTTGGCTCATTGGTACTCTTATTCTCATAATCTCATAATCACCTTCGTATCGCATACAAATGTCTCGTGGAACCTCATATCTTTTCTAATAAGTTTAAAAACATAACTCGACTTTTAGAAAGATAACTTAACTCTGAATATGTTCATAAAAAGCTTAAGGTGCTTCACTTAGTCCTTATACCTGATTTCTTGATAATTAGTAAAAGAAAGTATTTAAAAAAAAATCAAATGTTTTAGTAGTTTAAACATAAAAATTATATTTGAGAATTTTGAAATCGACGTGTCACTTTAGAGATTTTAAAATACACTTTAACAAGGAAGAAGGACTGATCGCAAATACTAAATGCCTTTATTTTTAAGTCACACAACCCAAAGACGAATAAGAATTCATATATATGGACATATATTTAAGAAAGCCGACAAAATGACATATATAGATGTCGAATACCCTTTTTAACCGAACGAGTGGAATATCAACCTAATAGCATCATGAAAATACTTCAGCTGCGATACCAATGCCTTTCACAGAAGGTCTTTCTAGCAACCAAATAGTAAAATATCACATTTGGCGTCTTAGGAATTTCCCAAAATTCGTGCTAAAAGGAAGGACGAAGCTTAGCCTTAACATACCTCTCCAACGAACGTCTGAATGCCTGTAGTTCCTTCACGGAAGTTGTTCCTTATGTCCTAAGCTTCGAAACCACTATATATATGCAGTTTATACGCACCTATAAATAGTTCATAAATGAGTTTAAATCGGCAGATTTGCCATATGACCCTAACTTAACGAAACGCCCGTAGAACTTTGTAAAAACGATCATAAAAGAGTCCCAAGATGATTACCTTGGCAAACCAAGTATAAATCCCTAAGAACCATCAAGAACAACAATTTTCTATCTTCCAAAAATAGCTCCAAAACAACTAATAGAAGGGGAAAACGATTGCAAAGCGTAGAGATTGCGCTTCTAGGTACGGGGGCAATCTTTAACGATAGAAATCGTTAAAAACACACCTTAATCACTCAAGAACACCATGAAACCCTCTCTTAAGCTTTCTCACTGTTTTGGGACGAAGATGAAATGTTTTGGGGTCTTAAAAGTCGGATTTTCCGACTTATACCACTTGTTTGACCCGACCCGGTTCGCGACCCGATTTCAGCCCGAACAGTCCGCGGTAAAACAGTCATAACCTTTTACCCCAATATCGGTTTGATGTGAGATTTCTTTGGTTGTAAACTAGACCCGTAGAACTTCGATTTGGTAGGTTTTGGGTCCCATAACTCTTTATATATTGGGAGAAATAATCTGATACATTTGACCCAAAATTTAGAAAATTTATTAGAGAAATTTACGATAATTTTTGCCGACCTTTATTTCGCAACTTGCTTGACTCCAAAACTTAACATGTGACCAGTGTGATATTATAATACCTCATAACACATTATTCTTAGCATATTATACACTCTTAGTCTTATCCCACAGGTGCAAGTTAACTTAAACCTTCCGAACGCGCGGGGTGCTACCCGAGCCATTTCTTTAACCATGAACCTTTGTTTAAGGGATTCCTTTGACTTAAAGCTTTAGTTTAGTTCCTTGATATTACCACACATTTTCAGTCTTATTCTCCCAATGTGCTATACCCAATCATATATACATAATATAACCATGCCACGTTATATATATTACGTAAGAGAAGAGAGAAACACCTGGGGTCTCACAGTCTCCCCCCTTAAGAACATTCGTCCGCGAATGGGTCAAGTCAATTCCTTGGTTTCATTTCTTGTCTGCTAATACGTTATTTGCGAGGCTATATTTGTTACATTTGCAAAGCATAAATCAAATTCTGAAGATTCCAACTACTAGGCTTCGTATAGCTATCTCGCAATAAAAAATATTAAATTGCACTTTCAAGTCATTTAAAATTCAATTAAGTTGCTGTAAAAAAATAATTGGTAATTATTTAAATGCGACTCACCTTAAGTCGTAAATAGGTGGGGGTACTTCTTCCTCATTTCCTCCTCAGCTTCCCAGGTCATTTCATCGATGTTGTTATTTTGCCATAACACTTTCACGGAAGCCACTTCTTTAGTTCGAAGCTTCCTTATCTGCCGATCTAAAATAACTACTGGTACCCCTGCATAAGATAAGTCTTCATCAATGTGAATATCCTCAATGGGCGTAATACGTGAAGGATCTCCAATGCACTTCCGCAACATAGATACATGAAACACAGGATGGACTGCTTCCAATTCTAAAGGCAAATCAAGCTCGTACGCCATTCTACCAATCCTCTGAATAATCTTATATGGTCCAACATACCTAGGGCTGAGCTTCCCCTTCTTTCCAAATCGCATGACGCCCTTCATAGGCGATACTTTCAGGAAAACCCAATCTTCTACATCAAACTCTAAGTCTCGTCGTCGAACATCTGCATAAGACTTTTGCCGACTTTGTGCTGTACGCAGCCGGTCTCTAATAAGTTTTACCTTTTCCATTGCTTGCTGGACTAAGTTAGGACCTAGCAACTCTGCTTCCCCGACCTCGAACCAACCGATCGGCGACCTACACTTCCGCCCGTATAGTGCTTCGTAAGGAGCCATCTGAATACTAGCTTGGAAGCTGTTATTATAAGCGAACTCAATAAGAGGTAGATGATCATCCCAACTTCCTTTAAAATCTAGCACGCAGGCACGTAACATATCCTCAACTGTCTGAATAGTACGCTCTGCCTGTCCATCAGTTTGCGGATGAAAAGCGGTGCTAAGATTTACCTGCGTGCCTAGACCCTTCTGAAAAGATTTCCAAAAATATGCTGTAAATTGAGCCCCTCGATCAGAGATAATAGATAATGGCACTCCGTGAAGGCGAACAATCTCTCGAATGTAAAGCTTGGCATAATCCTCAGCTGAATATGTCGTCCTGACTGGCAGGAAATGAGCAGATTTTGTAAGCCTATCAATAATTACCCAAATAGAATCATACCTCCGTGGAGTGCGAGGCAAACCAGTGATGAAGTCCATATTTATCATGTCCCATTTCCATAATGGAAGCTCAATACACTGAGTTAGGCCTCCAGGCCTCTGATGTTCGGCTTTAACTTGCTGGCAGTTGGGACATTGGGCTACCATCTCCGCGATATCTTTTTTCATTCCATTCCACCAATAGATCTGTCGAAGGTCCCGATACATCTTTGTCGCTCCGGGATGAACTGCATATCTAGAATAATGGGCCTCCAAAAGAATCTTGGCACGGAGCTCTCCTACTGACGGTACACATAAGCGGCCCTGGTATCTAAGGACTCCATCTCCAGTTAGCTCAAATAAAGGTTGTCGCTGCTGTGGAATACTTTCCCTCAGTTTTATAAGCTCAGGATCCTCGTGTTGTCGCTCTTTCACTTCAGTAACAAAAGAAGATTTTGCCGTATTCTGAACGAGAATGCGTCCACCCTCTGCATCTACCAAACGCACCTGCAAACTAGCTAGCTGGCATAGATATTTGGTCATCTTGACCTTATCAGCTTCAACATGGCTTAGACTGCCCATGGACTTCCGGCTAAGGGCATCAGCAACAATATTAGCTTTGCCGGGATGATATAAAATATCAACATCATAGTCCTTTAGTAATTCTAGCCATCTTCTTTGTCGTAGGTTCAGCTCCCTCTGTTTAAATAAATACTGAAGGCTCTGGTGGTCGGTGAAAACATCAATATGAACCCCATATAGATAATGCCGCCAAATCTTTAGGGCAAATACAACTGCGGCTAACTCAAGATCGTGCGTAGGATAGTTCTGTTCATGTTTTCGCAACTGTCTGGAGGCGTACGCGATAACCTTACCATGCTGCATAAGAACACAACCTAGGCCAATTCTCGAGGCATCACAATATACAACATAACCCTCGGTGCCATCCGGAAGAGTCAAGACAGGTGCCGTAGTAAGCCTTTTCTTTAGTTCCTGAAAACTTTGTTCACATGCCTCAGTCCACTGAAACTTAGCTCCCTTATGTGTCAGTTTCGTCAATGGTGCAGAGATAGAGGAAAATCCCTCCACAAACCTTCGGTAATACCCTGCCAAGCCTAAAAAGCTACGAACCTCTGTCGGATTCAAGGGCCTCGGCCAAGTCATCACAGCTTCAATCTTTTGGCCATCAACCTTGATACCATCGTCGGTAATAACATGACCAAGAAAGGCTACAAAAGTTAGCCAAAATTTACATTTAGAGAATTTAGCATATAACCTGTAGTCCTGGAGGGTCTGCAATACAACTCGCAAGTGGTCCGCATGCTCGGCTTCCGATCGCGAATATATCAGGATGTCGTCAATAAACACAATCACAAATTCATCCAAGAATGGTTTGAATACCCGGTTCATAAGATCCATAAAGGCTGCTGGGGCATTTGTAAGCCCGAAAGACATGACAAGGAATTCAAAATGGCCATACCTCATCCTAAATGCTGTTTTTGGGATATCAATATCCCTGACGTAGTTGATGATAACCGGATCACAAGTCGATCTTCGAAAAGCATTTGTCACCTTGTAACTGGTCGAACAAGTCATCAATCCGTGAAAGAGGATACTTATTCTTGATAGTGACTTTATTTAGTTGCCTGTAGTCAATGCACATCCGCAAGGACCCATCTTTCTTTCGAACAAAGAGTACCGGAGCACCCCATGGGGATGTACTTGGCCTAATAAAGCCTTTATCGAGCAAGTCTTTCAATTGTTCCTTCAATTTCCTTAGCTCTGCAGGAGCCATTCTGTAGGGAGAAATGGATATAGGCTGCACATCAGGAAGCAAATTTATAGCGAAATCGATTTCCCTTTCGAGGGGAATTCCTGGAAGCTCGTCAGGGAATACCGTCAGGAATTCATTCACAATAGGAACCGACTGAAGAGTCGCTGGCTCCTTATCTATATCCCTAACATGAACCAGATGGTATATACAACCTTTAGCAATAAACTTCCGAGCCCTAAGGTATGAAATAAACTTACCCTTGGGCGTGGCTGCATTACCTTTCCATTCAAGGACAGGCTCACCAGGAAAATGAAATCGGACCAACTTTGCACGACAATCAATATTAGCATAACAAGCTGCCAACCAATCCATACCCATAATGACATCGAAGTCTAGCATAACCAATTCAACTTAATCAACATAGGTTGGACGGTCAATAATTAACACTGTACAATCTCGATAGACATGATTAGCTACAATAGAGTCGCCAACTGGCGTAGACACCTCAACTGGTTGTGGGAATAACTCAGATCTCATATCAAGCTTACCAGCAATAAATGGAGTAATATATGAAAATGTAGAGCCGGGATTCATCAATGCATAAATGGCATAAGAATGTATTGTCAATATACCTGTGATAACATCTGGGGATGCCTCTGAATCCTGTCGGCCTGT